TGGCTTCGGTCTCCCCAATCCCTGATTCTGAATCAACACTTTCAGAAGATGCCCAGGGGATCCTGAGAAGTCCATCCATGTTGGCCTTGACCAATCCTTGCCAGTGTATCGAGAATATTCACTAGATACCTATCTAGCAAATTCAGAGTCAATGTTCCTGAAAAGACTCAGTGTTGCAAGATTTTCTTGGGCTCTTTTCCTCATCCAAATTTTCAGGCTCTCTGTCCTTTCTCTCCTCTGTCACAGTAAAGCCATGCATCGACAACCGTTTGGAGAAATATTCCCAGCAGCCTGACACAGATTTCCTTTGCGATATTTACCATCACAATCATCTCTCCAAGAAAGAACTGTACGCGGCTGTCACGGAGCTCCAGCTTGCTGCAGTGGAGACGGTGAGGGGAGGCTGGGACTTAGTTGGCTAAACAATGAGTTTTTAAGTAGCCATGGAAATCATTCTTTCCACCAGAACTACCCAAGTAGCTACAGCCTCACAAAAACCAGTAAGCATCCATAGTGAGCGCTGTGGGGGAACTCAAAGCAGGGCCTCTTGGTGGTTAAGGGCAAGGTAGGGACTTTGTGTGATAACATATGCTCCAGTGATAACATACTGAGTAGGTTCTGGCCAGCACCATGGCAGATATCAGAACTGCCATGGGAATTTGGAAACAGCCAGGTACCCATGCTCTGGCTAGGTGACTTAAGTTTCTCAAGCAAAGGTTGGAGAGAGAGAGAGCTCAATTGGTAAAGTACTGTCTGCGCATCCATGAGGACCTGATAGGAAAAAAGCCAGGTGAGGTGGCCCCTATGTGTAATGCCAGGCCTGGGGACATGGAGAAAGGAGGATGCCTGGGCCAGGCAGACTAGCTAGTCCAGTGAGAGACCCTGCCTCAAAAAATAAGGTAGAGAATAGTTAAGGAAGATGCCTGATGTCAACCTCCAGCCTCCACATGCATGTACATACATGTACCCCGACATATGAACACACACACACACACACACACACACACACACACACACACACACGGTTGTTTTTTAGTAATGATTCAGACTATCCCCCACAGTGACTACCTGTGGCTGATTATATTTAAAATAAGATGAAATAAAAATTGGAATTCAATCCTCCAGACCAATAATACATTTAGTGCTTAAAAGTACAAACAAGATGAACTTGGGATAGCTTGATTTTTATTTAAATGCAACAACTCATGTGCAACATACCAGCTGATTCTCTTAGTAGATTCTCTATGCAGCCGCCTTCCATTCATGTCTTATGCTGTCACTAGCGTGACACAGACTTCTCAAAGGCCCGCATTCTGTGCACCTTAAAGTGTCCAGGCAGAAACCCTCCCAGTTGACTGCTTCTTTGCATTTCCCCTTTCATGGCACTTCTTGAAGGAGAAAAGGCAGTTTCTGTATTACAGACAACACCTCTCTTTCTGCTGCTTGCTCCAGGAGATCGACAGAAGTGGTAATTGATCTGATCTCCCTTTCTGAATGAATGCCAGGCCTTTCCACAAAGCCACAAAGGCCATTGTTCTTCTGTGGGAAGGGAAGTGTGAATTCTGTGGCTGTGCTTTGTCTACGGCGTCCTTCCAAGAACACAAAAGAGCACACGGCATGTGTAAGGTGGTCAACAAATGCTTACTGAGTAAACGGAAGAGGATGAGAACTGTAGAGCACCTACTGCGTGCCAGGCCCTTAAAAGTCCACTAGGAATGAGAGGCAAAGTCTTGTTCCTCATAGAACTGAAATGCCAGTGGGGAGGAAAGACAGTGGATGTGAATACACACACACACACACACACACACACACACACACACACACACATCACTATTCAGGTAGTGGTATACACCATGAAGGAACATTTTTAAAGCAAAGGAGTAAGCTGGCCAATTTATGCTTTGCCAAGTGAACTATGGCTGGTGGGTGGAGAGTGAACTTCCTAGAGAGAAATTAGCAAGGAGAGGCCAGTGAAGGGGATGGCGCCCTCCCAACCGAGGTCGTACCAGGACAGGCTGAGCCCTTGAGGTTTCCTAACCCACTTCCCCTGGAATGAAGCTCTGCAGTTTTCTGAGGGGCCCAGACAGTATACCCTGGCTGTGGTGAAAGCTGGTTACCCAGGCCCGTGGAGCACTATTTGACACTTGTGGTGAGGCATTTGCTGATATGGTTATCCACCTGATCCATTTCTTTTTCAGCCCTGTTTATTCTGAATGTCACATTGGGTGAATCAGAGAGGTTTGATTGCCTTTAATTTGGAGGCCACACCCTCTTCCTGTTCTGTGCTAATGCCATCCACAGCTTATTTTCAGCGGAAGCCACTGGCTCTCTGACATGAAGAAGCCTGCCTGGGAGGCATGTTCTTCCAAAAATAATAAACACCAGTTGGCTCTGACCCATCTTTTCCTCTGCTCATTAGTGTGAGTGGGTCATGGCACTCAGTCACAGTGCCTTGGTGTCTGCAGGGGGAGGACATGGCCACGGTGTTGAGACCATTCTGTTTAAATCAGGTGAACAGCCAGGTGCCTCTGACTCCTGGTGGTGAATGTGATGGTTGCTCCTCATACCTTCAGAGAAGACACCAAAGATACCCTTAAAAGGCCATCAGTCTTTGTCAGAAACAGTCTCTAGCTCCTTAGCATACTCAATTTGATGTTAGAATGTATCCCCTGCCCCTCCCCCATCCTTTTTTTGGTGGGGGGGGGCAAGGTCCTGCATTCTCCTATAAAGGCATTTTGCACATGGGTAAAACCCTGATAATGCCTTTTCATGTTCATGGTTAATTTAGGGTGTGGCCAAAAGAACTTTTATTAGATTCCAGAGAGGCAATGCGTGATGCATTTAATTGTGTTGGGAAAATATCTTTGGAAAACCTCTCACTGGCATCACTAGAGCTTTTCTGTCTTTTCTTTACTCAGTTTTACATCAAAATTTACTATTGAACAAGTTCTAGTTCCATTTTTATGTTGAGGCCACCAGGGAGTCACATTTAGGTCTGAGAGGGGGAGAGAGGACATCTTTGTATCTTGCTCCGGTTTCCCCCTAGTGGTGACATCGGATGCAGCAGTAAACTATACCACCACCCAGAAATGAGCCCCAAGCATCCCCAGATTTACCCAGCCTTCGTCAGCTGCACATGCAGCTGTTTGTGCTCAAACAGTTGCGTCCAACCGTAGTTCTAAACGTGACCATTTGTGCCTGGTGGCGGTGTGAGCCCAGTGATCGGCAGACTCTCTTATCTGGCCGTTTGCCTTTCAGACAGCAAATAGCTTGATGTGGATTCTCTACAATCTATCCCGGAACCCCCGAGTGCAGCAGAGACTTCTTCTGGAAATCCAGAGCGTGTTGCCCGGGAACCAGGCACCGCGGGCAGAGGATCTGAGAAGTATGCCCTACTTAAAGGCCTGTGTAAAAGAATCCATGAGGTAAGGACACACCTCTGAGCCAATACCTCGTTTGCTTTTGGCAGTACATGACATCACTAGAAAAGGATTCGCTTAGAACATAAAAATGATACCTCAAGATGGCTCCCATCAAGATACCTCAAGATGCCTCCCCTGGCTGATTATATGCATCTATCAAACTAGAGGGAAGGACCTTGGAGTATATCGATGTTTATTTTACTCACTTTCCAAACCTTGTGGACCAATCCCACCGCTCGCCTCTCATGGATGCTGGTCAGTGGGAGGGAGTCGTCTGTGGTTGTGGGGCTGGAGATGAAGGCTGAGCAAGAAGGCACAGAGACAGACAGCTCTGTCTTTTAGCCTCTAGCTCTTCCTGGAAAGTAAACCTCCAGCCTTTGGACCAGAAGGAAACAGTGCCACCTTCGTGGAGAGCAGGCAGCAGTAGAGCAGAAGAAATGCAAGCTTTGGGTGAAGCATGAGACGCAGGCAGATTGAAGGGAACACAATTGATGAGCCACTCGCCAGACTTATAGGGATTTAACTAATGTGATAAAAAACAAGAGACGTGCATGTTGAGAAGGAGGGATTTCTTAAAAAAAAAAAAAAAGTAGTTCTTTGAGGATGCCATGCAATGTATCTTGATCATATTCACTCTCCCCGCCCCCCCCCGCCCCACTCCACCCAGATCCATCCCCTTCCTCAGTCACCCAACTTCGTGTCTGCCTTTCCCCCATCAAGTCTGATTTGTGTTACCACACATTCTTGAGTGTGGAGGGAGGGTAGCTTATATATCAGGGCTAATCCCCAAAGAAAACCTGGCTTTCCCCATCCCGGCAGCTGTCAGCTGCCAATAGCTCCTCAGGTAAGAGAGAGGGTTTCCTCTCACCCTGACTGAACTCCGACAGACTTCTGCTTCCCATTCTGAGTCTATTCCTCACACCACACAGACACAGTGTGGTCTGGGGCCACCGTTACAGCTCTGACTTTGGTTTTTCAGGCTTACCCCAAGTGTGCCGTTCACATCTCGGACTCTCGACAAACCAACAGTTCTGGGTGAATACACTTTACCCAAAGGAGTAAGTAGAATTTGCATATCTGTTTCTTAGCAAAGCTTGACAGGATTACACTTCCCAAGTGTTTGTCACAGGAGAGCATTCATTCTGGAGATCCATAGTAGGATTCACCCTCTTCATCTGAAAAATGGAGAGAGGAGGTGGTCATGAACATGGAACACAAAAATGTGGAGTTCTGGGGGCTGGGGCAGGGTTTCAGGAGGTCAGAGTTCTTGCTGCACAAGTCTGAGGTTTGAATCCCCAACACTTGTGTAGAAAACTAGATATGGCTGCTTGGGCCAGCATTGTTCGAGGCAGGCAGAGCAGGATCAATGGGCCTTGCTAGCTGCCAGCTTAAATCCAGGTTCATTGACAGACCCTATCTCAAGGGACTGAGGTGTAGAGAGATAGAGGACATCAGGAGTCCTCCTCTTCCCTCTGCATGTGCATGTGGGTACATGTACTACCCCACACACATGCACATATATCATTCTTTCACTAACATATGTCAAGCAATACAACCATCATTATTGTGTTTCCATGAATTATTTTTGCTTCTGATTATCTAAAAGATCATCTCTTTCTGTGTGCTTTTTAGACAGTGTTAATGCTAAATACTCAGGTGTTGGGTTCCAGTGAGGACAATTTTGAAGATTCCAAGCAGTTTAAACCTGAACGCTGGCTTCAGAAGGAGAAAAAGATCAATCCCTTTGCACATCTCCCATTTGGCCTTGGGAAGAGGATGTGCATTGGGCGTCGACTGGCTGAGTTACAGCTCCACTTGGCCCTTTGCTGGGTAAAAGTCCTCACTAGGTTTCTACAACCACATTCTGGGCTATTCTACAAAGCCGGGGGAGAGAGGGTTAATTCTGCTTTTGTCTCAATGTGTGTTACAGATCATTCAAAAATACAAGATCATGGCTACAGATGATGAGCCCGTTGAAATGTTGCATCTTGGCATCCTGGTACCCAGCCGGGAGATACCCATTGCATTCTGTCCTCGGTAGGATGCTGAGGTGAGTGTTTGAGTCCCTGTTGCCCTCAGGGGCCTTACCTGGCCAGGAGTGAGCCAAGTTTGGAAGTGTCTAGACTTATCTTTATTTTCTCCTTTCCTCCCTACCCACTTCTCTTCCTTCCTTTTTTTTTTTATAAAGATTTTATTTTGAGAGTGTGTGTGTGTGCCACAAAAGTGTGGGTACCCACAGAAGTTAGAAGAGGGCATCAGATCTCCTGGATCTGGAGTTAGAGATGACACTGTGAGCTGCCCAAAAGACATGGGTGCTGGGAACCAAACTCAGGTCCTTTGCAAGAGCGGCAAGTGCTCCTACCATGAAGCCATCTCTCTAGCCCCACACAATACCTCTATTTTAAAACTACTGAGCTGTTTTCTTCCTTTTAACTTGGGCCCAAGTATGTCACTCAAGCCCTGTGCTAAGAAATCGCTTCTCTAGTAAACCCTGAGCTTTGTAAATGTGGTTGGTCTCTCCTAATACACATTACAATGAGCTCAAAACTAGTGATGTGACCAGAAGTGAGATGGAGAAACTATTGTCTGATGTGGACGGTGACATCCCCAGCCTGTGGCTTGACAGGCACATGTTCGTGCTTGAAGCCAGCCTCTCTCACTCTGTCTTTCCAACAATGTGATTAGGGTGAAGAGAAGGAGCCATGGAGGTGGGTGGGTTATTTAGAGTAACACAGTTATTGTTGGAGCTTCTGAATGAGGTGCCAAGAAATACAGAAATAATTCCATGGTGTCTGTAACTGACAGAATATGTTTCGAATTCTGAGAGACCACATGAAGTAGGGTGACATAAGAATTGTTAATTATAAGCCCCAAGGCCAGAGTGCACATTTCATTCAGTGAGTTACACTTTTGGCAGTTACCTGTAATAACTGTAATTTTAGCTTTTTATTTTCTGATGATTGAGACACCCCATGTGACCTATGATGGATGTCTCCTTGATTTTCCAGACTTTTTTCCACCAAGATCAAGACCAGCAATCTTTCCCTTTCTGCAAGAATGGTGCTTATGGCTTCGGTATTCCTAGATGGCAAACTTCAAGGACCTGAGCATGGGACAGCCTGCAGAGCATGGCTCACATTGTCCTCCATAGACTATTCTAGAAACTATTGTCTAGACAATGATGTTTACTAAGACCATCGACTCAGGGAAGCACATGAAGTGTGGGAACACCAGCCTAGCCCCCTCTAGACCTCACCACTGGTTTACATCAGCCAATCAGAGTCCTCCTTGCTTCTGTGGACCTCCTCAAGAGCCCGCTGCCTCTCCCTCTTCTGTGATACCACTGTGAGGCTGACAATCAGCCATTCTAGAAAAGGTTGCTAAGTATTTCTGCTACCATACCCAAAGAAGTGTCTTTAATTCTCATTTCCATCTCATAAAGAAAGACCTACTATGGCTTAATTATCTGGGGATCTGAGTGGGTCTGACAGGCCACTTATTATTATAACTCTCTTTCATGCAATATTTACAGAAATGCCAGTTGCCGACAGAGCTAAAAGTTAGTTAAAGGCTCTCATACAGCTATTTTCCCTGCATACAAGGGGAAACATGGTTGGGGATTAGAAACTGTCTATTTTAAAGAAGTTCATTCCTTAGTGAAACCAGCTCCTTGCTTAAAAATGTCTTGTTCATGCAGAAGACTCTGTAATTTTTCATTTCATTGGTATCTTTTCTCTGTAGCATTGGAGTGTGCATGGACCAATCAGCAGTTTCTAAGCTGTGCATGTGTTGGCACATGTGTGCAAGTGTGTGTGTGTGTGTGTGTGTGTGTGTGTGTGCATGTGTGTGTGTGTGTCTGAGCTCTGAGAGTACTTTGCTTCAGTAATGCTTTTCCAGGAAAGACATAGGGTGCCCAATTTAGGGTCTTCAGTGTGGGACTATGTCCCAAAATTTACTCACAGCTTAAAGGTACTCATTGCAACTTTAAGAATAGGATCTCCCATGCCTTAATTTCTTTATCTATTCAAAGTGATAATGGTAATACATGTGTACTTAGAGACTACCTATGCAACACTTATAGTATGACTTGAACCCCCTGGGAAAACACAATTTCATCAGCGCAAAATGTGGAATTATGCACTACCCACAAAACTTAAAAATGTTTACATACGACTTGTGCATTTTCTATCCAGCACTTTTTTTCTATAGAAGTTTACTGTTTATTTCTGTATATTTGATAAAGATTTCCCTTTTAGGTTATAGTTTTAGAATAATTCTGAAATATACATGGATATGTACATTTGAATGAATATGTGTGTATCGGTAACACAGGAATATGCTTTCTCTCTCTTGTGAAATTATTTTTAAATTGTAAATCCAGAGAGTAAAGATGTAGTTCTGTGGTAAGAGTGTTTGCCTAGTCTGTGTGGGGCCCTGGGTTCAAGCTCCAGTACTGCCAAAAAATAAAACAAACAAATACATCTTTGTTGTCAGAATTTTGTTTTTATATATTTGTCTTTCTAAAAAAAAATTATTACATTTATTTATGTATTTATTTATTTGGGGCACACCTGCTGCATCACACCTGTGGAGATCAGAAGACAATTTAGGGAATCAGTTCTCTCCTTTCAGCATACAGGTGCTCAGAATCGAACTTGTCAGACTTAGCAGCAAGCCCCTTTAACCACTGAGCCCCTTAGCCAGCCCTTGTATTTTATATCTTTGAATTCTTAGAAAGTAAGGATGAGTTTTTTTTAATATCAGAGAGATTATTCCAGCTCCTGGTGTGAGGATATAGTCTTCATTGTGGAGGAGGCAATGGAGGCAGGAGCCTGTCTGTGTCTGTTGGGACAGGGGGAGCATGAGGTGGCTGGCTCACATCTCTGCACGCTAGAGGAAGTGGGGCCAGGCTACAACCCCTTAGACCTCCTCCAGGGAGATCCACCTCCCCAAACAGTGCCACCAGCTGGGGACCAAGTGTTCAAACACATAAACCCCTGGTGGTTTACATTCGTTTATATTTACATCCATAAATTATAACCACCACCATCACCAGGCTGGCTGTGGTCTCTACCACTTCTCCCCTCGACCACTGTAATAACTCCAGCAATTCTCCATCAACTCTTGTCTGCTTCTTATCTATTCTCTCTCTCTCTCTCTCTCTCTCTCTCTCTCTCTCTCTCTCTCTGTCTGTCTGTCCCTGTCTGTCTGTCTGTCTTTCTGTTGTTGTAATTCTTTCTCTGTTCTGCTCTGCCCTCAGGTAATGCCATCTAGCTTCAAATTTGCTACGAAGCCGAGCTTGACCTTGAACTTTTAATCCTGCCTCCATCTCCTGAGTGCTGGGATTACAGCCACGTGCCTCCATGCCCAACTCTTCAAACACCAATCTTGACTCCATCTCATTCCTACTTTGTGGCTGGCCCCCCACTCCTCTAACATAAAGATCCAATTCTGTAAACTGGCCTTTCTTGCCCCATAAAGTGTAGATCTACCAACTGGATAGCTCAGTCCCTTCAGCTACTCCCCAGTGCCTCTGAACTCTGACTGCACCCCCTTCCGACACTCTCTGCCAGTCCTTCAACGCTGCCCTCCCCAGAGCATGCACACCTCCAGCCCTTCTCCAGTCTTCCTCCTGGCCACTCTGCCTGTTCCCTCCCACACACCATGCAGAATTCAGCTCTGGCTTCCTCTAGGTGACTCAGATTCTGTCCACATACTCTGACCCTGGGACCAGAACCCTCTACGGGAGTGACTCCTGGGGAGGAACGGTGACCGGGGAGTGGGGGAGACTCCTGGAGTCCTGAAATTCAGGCTGTGTCATGGGGATGCATTCCTAGGCACATTTAGTTCTCACTATTTCCAGGCACAACAGCAAAGCCAGCTCAAAGATTGTCTTTAGGGAGGATTGCAGGCACCAGCTACTGGGAGCAGAGCATGGAAAGACCAGAGAAGGTCTAAGAAGGGAAAAGAGCAGCAGAGGGTCAAACTGGATCGAGGACAGTGCCTGCTGCCCCTTGCCTGTCCACGAGGTCTCCTAGAATTGACTCTGATCTCAGCAGTTAGACCCATAATGAGTGCTTCTGAATGGCTCCTCTGGGTAGAAGAGTGGCTGTCAAGAAACTTCCAGCAGGCGACAGAGTGAAGGGAGGCTATAGTGATCTTTTAATCAGCTTCAACCAGTGTCCGTCAGTCATTCCTACCTGGAGCACAGGGCTGACTGGGAGAAGGAGGCTCATGTGATCCAGCAACCCTGGTGAAGGCAGAGTGGTAGACAGGAGATGGATTCTGCTCCGCTCCAGCCTCATTTCTGGTACGCATCTCAAAGTGGGAGCTCCTTGCTCTGCTGTGCGGTCCCAGGATGCAGGGGTGTGTTAGCTGCAGGACACATGCGGACCCTCGACCTGGCTGGATCACATCATGTTCTGACGCTGTTAATGTGGAGTCCTGAGCTACAGTCTCCGAGTGTGAGGGTTTCTGTAAGTCTTAGAAAGGGTGTCTCTGCATGCTGATTTCCAAACCCAAGTCCCCATTGTCCCTCTGCTGCAGAGAAACACCCTTGAGCTCTGAGGCCTGCAAAGTCCAAGCTGGTGTAACTGGGGAACCTCGGCTTTCAGAAGTGATGGCTGCACCTGGGTTTCGGCCATAGAGAAGCCAGTCCATGGCTATGTGCTTGCTATTAAATGGAAGTTAATATACTTTATGTCCCTGGGTTCTCGTGAGGCTTAGGGGAAACTGGATGTGCTCAGGGCTTGACTCAGAGGAAGAATGGCATCAGAATTCATATTTCTGGCCTGAAGATGTGGAAATGAAGCACACCCCTTTATGGTTGTCAGACAAAATGCCCCAGGCCCTGGAGGCAAGGATATGTGGGAATACAACTATAATCAGTTTTCCCAACAAATAAATGCGATCTAAGAGACTTGGGGGCAATTAAAACTTTAACTCTCCTGGAAAAATTATCAAGACAAGAAACAATCACCATTTTAGTCCCAGTGTTCAATATGAGATTTTATGCTAAATGCTAAAGACTAAAAATCCACGTATTGAATTTGTCATTCAGTCATGAGTGCCCAATGGCAACATTTCTGTGCCCATCCACCCCTCCAGTTTTCTCGGCTGACATTCTGTCAGGACTGTCCATCAGTGCGAACTTGCTGGATGAGTATGTTGTTAAATGGACTATAATCTGTCACTGTTGTTCCTTTTAATGCTCACGTTGTCCTTATTTAATCGGTAGAGTCTCTTCAAATCGATCCCGGGGAACACTCAGTGTGTTGCATTTTGAGCACTTCCATCTGCAGGAGCAAGAAGACACCACAATCCATTCTTCTCCTTTGCCTGTTCTAGCTCTGGAAGCCTCTCCCTGGGAAAGAAAAGAAAAGAAATCCAAGTTTGTTTCACTAGAGAACAGCTTTTAGAAACCAAGATCTGGGTCCTGGGTGTGGTAGTCTAGATACTCTGAGCATTTAGATTTAGGAAGTGGTGTGTGGTGGAGAGGAGGGGAGGGAGAAGGAAAAAGAAGAAGAAATACAGACAGTCAGAAAATCTGGTTCAATGGTATATGTGAATTCTTTGTTCTTGTAGCTTCTCTGAAATCATGTCAATAGAATACAATCTCAAATACAATGCTGCACAGATCAGTGGTTCAGTAAGGAGCCCAGGGCTGATCGCAGAAGCAGGTAGCTTTCCTCTGAATCCCAGGTTCTCCACTGTGGGATGCTGGACAGGTGGTTTTGATCTCTCTCTACGTTTGAAGTTTTTCACCTTCATGGACATCACAATGTACTTGGTGGCATTATTGAGAAAATAAACTGAAGAGAACATGTGCAAACCCTTGAAGGCCACCTTCCTCTTCTGAGGAGCAGTAAGTGTATGTCTGCTCTTTGCTTGTCTGTTGAATTGACTGGTTTATTCCTGCATTAAAATTTAACACCGGAAAGACAGGATGAACCTTTGTATGCTTCTGGCTGTCACAGAAAACAGATCCAGTCTGTATAACTCAAAAGCCCAGAGGCAAACCACAGTGAGGATGCATGCCTAGAATCCCAGCATTTAGGAGGTAGCAGCAGGAGGGCCAGAAATTCAAGGGCATCCTCAACTGCATAGGGAATTTAAGGCTAGCCTGGATACATCAGACCCTATCTCAAATGAAAACCAAAGAAAAAGACCTTCAGGCCACCAATGACCACCAGAGCCAGCTCCCTGCACAGACAGGGCATGAGCTTATGGCCTCGCCCATCACTCCTTAGGTCACCTGCCATGCCTGACTTCAGACGCTTGCAGACTGTTTCCTTTAATGTTTCTGTTCTCTGTGGATTTCACCAACAAACTAAAATGCACTAATATCCAGAGTGAAGGTTGGTGTTATCAGCTTGACAGAATCCAGAATCACCTGAGAGACAGGCTGCCAGGTAGGCCTGTGGGGAATACACTGATTCATTAATCAAGGTGAGAGGACACACCCATTTGGGGTGACCCCATTCCTTAGGTGGGATCCTGTAAAAATGGAGAAAAGGGAACTGGCAGCAGCAGACATCCAGTGCCCTCTTCTGCTGTAGACTGCGGTGGCCAGCTGCTTTGAGCTCCTGGTGCCCTGAACTACATGTCAGAATAAACCCTTTTTTCCCTTAAATTATTTTTGTTGAAGTATTTTATTGAAGCAGTGGGAAAAGAAACTAGAACATCTGGGTAAGTAACTGATATTTGTTAAGCATTTTCTAAGCATTCTAGAAGCTTCCTATACCTTCCCTCAACTAATCCTCTCCAAGAAGCTGGGGGTCTGCCTCCTGTGTTAGTGTCGTGGAGAAGTTAAACATCGTGCTTAAAGAACTGCAGTGAGCAGAAACCTCGGGCTCCCACCCGGGCTCCACAGCACCTGTTCACTTCCCCTCACTCTGTGGCACTTGAAGTGCCTAAGTGGTTCAGTGAGTCTATCAGCAAGTATCCAGGATAAGCGGACGGGCTAAAAGCCAAGACTCTATTTCAGATTCAAGTTAAAGTGTTGACTTGTCTCTAATCTCCTGAACAGGACCTTGACCTGGGTGGCAGAACCACGTACTGCCACCCCACGTTGGTTCTGATGGCCAACCCTCCTTTATTGGCGCCAAGCCTCCTCTGTCTTCTTTATCGGTGGCGTGCAATGCTTGTAGAGCTCCCAGCCATCCTGACGTCTTAGCCCCAGACCTTCTGAGTGCATCCGTGCTAAGAATCGGGGCTGTCAAATGGCTTAGGTTTGCCCAGCAGAACCTTTTTCCTGCCATATTCACTTTTTCCCAGTACAAAGCAGCGTGTGGTGCTCTTAGCAAACCTGGAACAAAACAGAGAGGTGGCAGAGTTGCCCTAGACTGTGGGAGCTGAGAGGCTGGGACCTAAAAATTAATATGGCACCGAGATCTGTCTCTATATACTCAGAAAATAACCGCTTGCCTTTATCAAGTACCTACTGGGCCTCT